AGTACCACTGCATTCCTTGAAAAAATGAAGACTGGTGTAGATATTGCATATATGCCTTTTTTCACCTATGGACTGTAGCACCTATCATTTATTGAAAAGAACTCTTTCCAAGTGCAGACATATAATAATTGATAGATTCTGGAAAGCAGTGGAAGAGGAGTGGAAATTAGTACTCTTAGAAATTTTAAGAAAAACCCTTCTATCATGGAAATTGCAATGCAGACTTATAGTCCAGAAAAAGGGCTATCAGATCAAAGCATTTAAAAAAAAATGTTCTATTTTAAACATCAATGCTTATTTAAATGACCTCAAAATCATTCTAAAAATGTGTAAAACATTTTTCCCTTCCCCTCAAAACAAATTCTTCAAATTGTGATCATTTAATTATTAGCTGGAATTTCAGAGAAGTTTCACTTAAAAATGAATTTTTATACATTAAAATTTGTATTAGAGAAATTCATGAAATATGGAAGTTTCACTGTACTCTCGTTTAATTTGTTTCGTACATATAAAGTTTCGAAGATTACATTAAATTCTTAAAATTTTATGACAGACCTTGTTATATATATATATGTAAATAAGAGTGCAGGGTTTTATTTAACTGTAACTCTGCAAATGAAGTCATTCAAGAGACCTGGCTTCTTGTTACTAGTTATGTAGAGTGGTGCAGAAGTTGCCATGCAAATGTTTAACATAATTTTATTTTTATTATTATTATTATTAATTTTTTTTTATTTATTTTTGATTGCTGCAAGGTTAAATTTCATTATACATAACCACATGGCATTCTCCTGTGGTGAAACTGACAGTCTTATAATTCACAATAAAATAATTTATTATGTGCAACAGAACATACTTGCAACCCCTTCCTCCAAAAGGAAAAAAGTGTGTGGCAACTTCTGTATTCTATGTGAAATGTGTTTTAAAACTATTTCACATGTACCTTGCTTCTGCCACATGTCACAAACTCTTCAGTTGTTATACGTGTATTTTTGCAAGTAATGAATTATAAATTTTTCTACATTACTCCCCTTAAGAAAAATTAGCACACTTTTGTTCTTTCAAAACTAATGTTATAAAGTTTTCCCATTTAATATTAAAAATAACATAAATAATGCCTGTTCTTCAATGCTATTCAAACAATACATTGTACTACTTATTTTAAATCTTTTGTAATGAAAATTTAGAAAGTATACAATAAAGTTTACTTATTTCAGATGCGCAACATATTCAAAGTTACAGCCCATTTCTAAAAATAAAAAATGATCGTGGTATTTTAATCATTAAAAATGCAAACATTTTTTGTTTTTGTTTTAATGTGAATAAATTTTTGAAAATACTCTGAACAGATTCTCAAAGTGTGAAAAATGCTATAAACAGCTGAGAAGGGCTTGTTTGCGTACTTTTAGTAATTAAAAATTGTTTGTATATATTTTTATGTTTACTTCATTAAAATAGTAACTTTTTATAATGAATTCAAATTCGCTAATGTTATACTTGCAACATATACTTATAAATGTTTTATTTTCTGTTCCCCCCCAAAAAAATGAAGTATTTGAGGGTTAAGAAGTGTTTTTCCCCACCCTTCTTAAAAAAATTTAAATTAATTTAATTATTAATATATTTGAATTTTTGGAAAAGGATTTCATCTTGTGTCATAGCTGTAAAGATATTTGACAACTTCTGATCTGAAATAATGTTAAGTTTCTTATTGTATATATTTATTGAATATCAAATAGCTTTTCAAAATTCTTCTAGGATCCTAATAGGTGAACATAACAATTTTGTTGAAAAACTATCAATAAAATTAAGTAAAAGAAATTCAAGTATAAAATTTTATATACATTTACACTTAAATAACCCTTTGTTTTAAACTAGAGTTGAAAAATTCTTTATAATATACAAAGTAACTTTTAAACATTGCAGCACATTTTGTCTACATTAGTAAAGCTGTTAATAAATAACTTTATCTATATCAATTCTTAGGTAATATGCTTGAGATTAAGATAAATGTAAATCTAAAAATAAAATTATTTATAGCTTTCATAGCTTTACATAATTAACCACTTGTGCTTAAAAGACGTGGCATGCACATCGAGATGTTTTTGTCTCAAACCGCGCGCAAAAATGAAAATAACATGGTGCACATGTCGCCTAACAACGAGATTGTTTATTTTTCGAGTTACAGCTCTGGATTGCACTGACAGACGCGGAGCGTCGTAAATGAGACACTTTACCGCTTGTTATATTGTAGCGCGTGGCACCGCAACCGTGAAGTTTAGTCGTAGCACAAGTGGTTAATACCAAAAATAAAATTCTGTAGAGTTCTTGACTTTTCGCAATCATATTTATGATTATTAAACTATCATCTTTAGCATAATATATTTTGCTAAAAGCAAATTTTTATGCATGAACAGTCACTACCCTAAAACCAAAGATATTTTACAAATATATTTAAGAAAGAGATATCTAAATCTTATAAAACTACAACTCGTACGGATAGGGAAGCTTTCGACCTGAAGCTAAGTGCTGCTCCACCGCTCTTACAATCTACCATGTTGCGACCCCACGGAGCAAGGACAGACAAAGTGGTACCCGTATGGTCCCTGCCGAGCCTTACTCTGTCCCGAGAGCCCTCAGGCCTTCTGTGAAGTATGTTTTTATACCCCCGTGTTTGAGACTGCCTAGGTACAGATCCTAATCAGTACTTTACAGGCATTCGCCTGAGTCAACCCCTGGAAGGACTTATAAAACTACAGTTAAAAATATTTTTGTCTTAAATGAACTAACTGTGAAAGATTTCGTGATACTGCATACCATTAAAAAATGCACGATCTTATTAAGGCAAAAAAATAATTGAACTTTAATGCTTAAAGCCACTGATTTTTAAAAAAATTTTTAATTGTGTAGGTTGCTATGTAACTTTATACCTCCTACCATGTATGGTAAAAATTTAACAGATAAAAAAGTAGCTTTTAATAATGTTTCACCAAAGCTTCAATTTGTAGAATCTGTATAAAAAAATTTCTTTAACCAATTTTGTTTATATTCAGTTTTTGAATTTTCTTCCCTTAACATAAAATGCTAAATAATTTACAGAATATTTAATTGACAAAATATTTAATTGAGAAGCATTGACTGCAAAATGCTGTCTCTTTTTTACTGTAAATAGTAATATATATTGTAAAATTTTTACCGTAAATAATAATATATATAGTAAAAAAAATATTTCTTATCAATGTGAGGGGGGGGGGGGGGGGGGGGGGGGGGGGGGGGGGGGGGGGGGGGGGTTTTTACTTTTAAATGAAAAAGGTCTAACAACTAATAAGGGCTATTTTTAGTGTTTTGTATAACTGTGTTTAGACTAGATATTAAAGAAATGTGTACTTCATGTTTTTGGATTAAGAAAAAGAAAGAAAAACTTAACTATTGTTGTTTTTATTTCTTTGTGGTAAGTAATCACTATGCTTCATGGCCAGATCTGTTATCAGTTCTGTGCCTTGTTCCAGATTCAAATTTTAATAATATTGGAGTATATTATCACATTGTTTTTGAGCAATTCATGCGCTTCCTGCTGTTACAACTGCACAGTGCTCTTAGCAAGCTGGAATGCACATTTTCCTGTGTTGAAGATACCGTCATCATATTTGACTCTTGCAAAACACAACTTTCGCTATAAAACTCTTATTCAGTGTTCAGTTCATTGAACTTAAATCACAGAATTTAATGCATAGCAAAAGGGCCAAGATAGGAAGACTTTACATTAATGACTTGGAAGTAAAGAACTTTTTAAAGTGTCAGGAAAATTATAAAGAAATGGAAAAGTTGGTGCTTTTAATTGGGTAAGTTACAGCATTTTTTAGCCCAATTTTGTGATATGATTCTGTTCGTGTAAAAAATGTATGTTTCAAATTCTTAATTCTTATAGATCTTTCAGCATGGTAGGGAAATAGATTTTTAATTAAAGTTTTGATTACAGCTTTGATCATTGGAACTCGTTAAGTTCTGAAAAAGCATCTTAACTGAGATTCCGAGGATTCCAAAGAGCAAAGCATTTTGATTTATTGTTGTATTATAATCATTGTTTTATTTCAGATGTCAAGTGTAATATTTGCACTTGCTGTTGTATTGCTAATGTTACCTTGTGAGGGGGTTTTCTAGGACTGGTTTACTGAATATATGTAAAAGGTTCCAAAATATGCATGTTTTTAATTTTTTTTCCTCTTTGCTATTTCCTGTTAAATTAGTTATATTGTAAGATTCTGAAGTCTACTTTACCTTTTGTGTCTTTTGATTCTCTTTTGAGCATTTAGGTACACATCAGTTGGTGTTTCTGGATTCTGAAATGGAGAGCTGTTCCAACTCAAGCTGCATAGTAAAATTGTACACAAATTGCAATCTGTGATGTAAAACTACATTTTAATATAAAATTATCATGGAACATAGGAATACTCATCTTAAAAAAGTTTATTTCTGTAATATTGTTTTGCTTTTTAATGTTTCTTATATGAAGGTGGAAAAAAATTGGTTGAATCATTTAAGTAATAGGTTTTTAGCATTTTTGAAAATCTGTATCTTCTAATGTAAATTTAAAATGATGAAATGGTGATGTTTGGTTTGGGTTTTTTTGTTTTAAAAAGTTAAAAATCCTAAAATATAATCTAAATCTTTCTTTGACAGTGTTTTTATGTAAGATTTTGAAGAATAAGATGGTAGTTGCATTTCTACCATTTAAATTCAGTGTAGTATCAACATTGTTAAAAGAGCATGGTAAATATGTCGTGTAAAATTTTTTTTTAAATGGATGTTTAAAACACTAAATAGCTGATTTTTTTTTTCATAGGTACATACAAATGTTTCTCTTCAGATGCTACTTTTGAATTTAATTGGTAGAACAATAGTGCAAATTGTAAAAACATGTAATCATTGACTTATTCTTCAGAATCTTTTAAAGTACTGACTGAAATTCCTTTTATTTATATTATAAACTCATCTTTTAGGAAGAAGAAAGGAAAAAACGGGAGCAATTGGAAAAAATTTTGGAGGAAAATAAGCGAAAAATCGATGAGGCTCAGAAAAAACTGGTAATGCCTTAATTTCTTGCATTTTAATGTTCAATATAAATTGATAGTATTTTGAATATTTCTATGCTTTTTGGTCATCAAAGAACAAATTTTACTCATGCTCTTGATTTAGGTTATATGTTTCATATTTCATATTTTTGTGTAGGAGATAGTAGAATAAATGCATAAATAGAGCAGTTTCCGTCTTTTTTGTAAAAGAGAGTTTGAAACTATTCTTTTGGCAACTTCTATAAATCTCTTGTTTACAATATCTTATTTTGTTTTATGTATTTTGTTTGCATTAATTATAGTAATCAAGAGATCCTAGAAATAATTTACGAATGTATAGACAAATAAAAAAATATTTATGTATGAAAGTTATATATATATGTATGTATATATATATATATATATATATATATATATATACAGTGATGGCCAAAATTGTGGACACTTTTGGAAATTTTTATGTTTTTGAACTTTGTATGCTTATAGAAAACATTATGTTTCACAAAATGCAAACTTGTATATATCATTTTAAAGAGAATTTATTACTGAATTCAATGCAAAACACAAAATTCAATTATTTGCAATACAAAAAAGTTAAACGATAATAGTTATCGATATACATTAGATAGTGATGATTGCAGTGAGTTATCGGTACTCAGTAGGGTACCCTTTATTTTTGATTACAGCTTCACATCGACGTTTCATTGAGCTGACAAGAGTTTTAAGCTTTTCTTTCATTATCACATGATGCCAGGAAACAATTACAGCCTCAATTAGTTCCCTTTTATTTGATGGGCGCCTCATTCAGACAAGAGTTTTCAAACGGTGCCACAAATTTTCGATAGGATTGAGGTCAGGACTGTTTCCTGGCCACGACAACAAGTTAATGCTCTTTGTACAAAACCACTCTTTCGATATTTTGGCCGTGTGGCAAGGAGCAGATTCCTGCTGAAAAATAAATGAAGCATTGTTGGGAAAGAGATCTGTGATGGAAGGTAGAAGTTTTGGTTTAGAATAGTGTCAATGTATTTTCTGGCATTCAGTGTCCCATCGATGACATGAAGGCGACAATACCATCTGCTGACATGCATGACCAAATTATAACACTAACTGGGTTCTTCACAGTTGCTTGAATGCAGTCAGGATGTAGCTCTTCTCCTATTCTACGTCTTGCATATTTTCGCCCATCGCTACCGAATAACGATATCTTAGTTTCACCACTCCATATAACTTGTGACCACTGATTATCTGTTGAATTAATGTGTTCCTTTGCCCACTGTAGTCTTTTTTTTTTTCGTTGCTGAAAATTAAGATAAAGCTTTTTTCGTGTAATTCTACCTCTCAGTCCAACATCTGTTAATGTTCTCCTGATTGTTCTTTAACTGACAGAAACACCAGCATCATTCAGATCACTTCTGATGGCCGCTGATGACATTTTTCTATCTTGGAGACATAGTTTTTTGTATTCTTCTGTCATTAATAGATGTGGTGCACCATTTTTGGCATTTTCCTTTGTTTTTTATTGAATTTGTCTCCTGATATTGTAAACAAAGCTTTTGGACTCCAGATGTAGTCACTGAACCACCGATCTGTCTTGCAATTTCAGCATAGGAAAGACCACTTTCTCGTAACACAATAATATTACATCTCTTTCTAGGTGTCCAATCTATTCGTTTATTTGATGTCATTGATTCTTGACTAAATATTAAAAATTTAAAAAAAAAAAATCCTACTTGTAATTGCAGTGTATAAGAAACAGATCCTCCTTCTACAGAACAAAGCAAAATAATGAATTGTTTCAAGTGTAAACATGATGTCAGCTTCTACTGGCAGTTACTAACATTTTGATTGGTTCTCAGAACAAGAACAGTGATTGGCCAGGAAAGCTGGACATTACAAACCACTTCATAACTGTGTTTTTTTATTTATATTAAACAGGGTTCGTAGCTGTCCTTACAAGTGCTTATAAGTCCTTATATTTGAAAATAAAATATAAAGGCCCTTATAGGTGCTTACTTTTTCTTTAAAGCCCTTATTTTTTGTTTTTAGTGCTTATCTTTTGCTTTTAGTGCTTTTTTTTAATCCTTTTTTTTTTAATGAACGTGCATTTTTTTCCCGTATCAAAGCTGAAACTAAATAAACAACTTTTCTTCCTTATATGCAACGTCAGATGGTGAATCATACTCCCGGAAGTTGCTTTCCCCCTTTCTCTGCATTAACGTAACCTATGGTGTGTGCGAGAGTACAGACAGGTGCACGTCGTTCTATTGGTCAAAAAATTGGTAGAAAACGGTAGAAAATTCCGGTACATTAGGTATTCTTTTCCTTCCATCCAAATACTACACACGTTTGAATTTCTATCAAGATTTTAATAATTTGCATTCTCGTTCCGCGTGGTCAGTTCATATTCGTGTTTATTATGATTGTCATGCTTATATTATGAGCATATGCATGAATATTTATAATAATATACCGTATTTATGCAAATCTAATGCGCATCGTTTTTGGCCAAATGTAGTATTCAAAATTGGGGTGCGCATTAGATTCGAGTGCAAAGTTCGCCGATGACGTCAACCAAATTTAAATCGTAACAATGGATTACTGTATTTCTCGACTACATTTACCGTTACATTTATGGTTGACACATTATTGCATAGAGGATACAAACTGCAGAGTACGTAGTCACGAAATGGAGGGCAAGCAGAGAAGAATGTCATATGACGCTACTTTGAAACGTAAAGTAATTCTTTATCCTGAAAAGAAATGGCAATAGAAAGGCAGGAGAGAGAGTTAAACGTAGCTGAGAGCAATGTTCGCTTGTGGCGGCAACAGAAATTGGCACTGTTTGCAACTAAAGCTAGTAGAAAGAAATTCACTGGCCCTCGCAAAGGAAGACACCCTAAAATTGAAGAAAAGTTTTGGAATTTGTACGTGAAAGGAGGAAGAATGGACAACCTGTGACTAGTGACACCATAAGAAATAAAGCAAAAGAGGAGGCTGAAGTTCTTGGAATACCGAAACAAGAGTTTAAGGCTAGCCGTGGATGGTGGATCGGTTTATGAAGCGGATGGGCTTATCTCTAAGACGCCGTACAACAATATGCCAAAAGCTTCCTGCAGATTTTGAGGGAAAACTACTAACATTTCAGCGGTATGTCATCACACTTCGGAAGGAAAAGAATTTTTCAATGGGGCAAATTGGCAACGCTGACGAGACGGCAAAATGGTTTGATATGCCTCGTAACTACACCATTACGGAGAAGGGGACTAAGGAAGTTACCATCAAAACTTCGGGATGTGAAAAACAACGCGTAACAGTGATGCTGGCAATAACAGCAGATGGGTGCAGACTTCCCCCTTTCTTAATCTTCAAACGGAAAACATGCTCTAAAACCCCTAAGAATGAAAAGCTGTTCTCAGATGATGTCATGATTCGAAACCAAGAGAAGGGGTGGATGACAGAATCATTAATGCTTGATTGACTCCGAAATGTATGGAAACGTCGTCCCTGTGGGCTCTCTAATCCACCATCAATGCTTTGTCTAGACGCATTTCGTGGTCATCTGACCGACGACGTAAAAAAGAAGATGCACAGCCTAGGCAGTGATCTTGTTATCATTCCTGGAGGGATGACGTCTGTGTTACAACCCCTGGACGTTAGTATAAATAAACCTTTTAAGGGGTACGTTCAGGCGGAGTACGAAAAATGGTTTTGTGAGCCAAAGCGTGTATTGACCCCGACAGGAAAAATTAAGCGTGCTGCACCGCACATTGATGCACACTGAGTTTATGCTGCCTGGAAAAGCATCAAAGCACCAATGATTGTGAAATCTTTCAAGAAATGCTGCATTTCAAATTCATTGAATGGCAGTGACGATGACGTTCTCTGGAACGCTGAGGATGACGATGACGATGACGATGATGAGCAAAGAAGAAATGAATCTGCTTCTGACGAAAGAGCCGCGAGGATTCCAGTGATGAAAACATTAGTGAATTAAGACGTTTACTATTAATCACTGATTGTAGAAACTGTTAGCTAGATAGAAATGTTACGATTTATTTCATGTTCATATTTTACGATAGGTACCGTATATACGGTAGTGCTAATTAACAATGATTGTTTCACATGACAATAGTCCACTAATAGGTTAATTCTATGTTCTGCTACTTTATGTATAAATCCATTGTTGTATAAAATATGGTATCTAAATTTAAAATAAATTATCATCATACCATTAATTGATAGTTTATATACAAATCCATTGTTGTATAAAATAAGATTCAATAAATTCCTCATATCATTGATGCGCATTACATTCGCCGACAAACAATTTTTTTATTATTTAAAGTTTTAAAATGGGGATGCGCATTAGATTCGATGGCGCATTAGATTCGCATAAATACGGTAGTTGCAGTAACTGCTGAAGTATAGATAAACTTCCAAAAATGGGGGTATTTTTACACATATTAGCTTTCTAAGGAATAATATGGCTTAAATAAAAGGAAAGTAATCGAATAGTCAAAATAATTTTTTTTTTTTTTTTTCCAATACGTTATACAGTACAGAGGTTGGGAGGTTTTCCCCTTCCTCCGCAAAATCTCTAATATTGTAGCAGCGGACTTTTTTTATTTGTCATTGTCCAATCTGGATTGAATAGGACTGAAAGTTTTTGCAGTCTGCCCAACCTAAGCGAATATTGATTCGATTCCCGAAATTTAATGCAGTCTGTTGAAAATTTGAATCAGAAACACCCCAGATTAGTAAGTCTCTTTCTTTTCCTTTATTTAGTTCTTTATTCTCCAAATACCTGCAGCTGTTGATTCCGATTGCGTAATATCACATGTGGAAGAAATATGCCGCACGTATTGTGCAATAACGTTTGCGGTATTTTGCAGCGATAATTAATTTTGATGTTCAGTCTGAGATTTGTTTATGAACATCTAAAAGAGTTTTACTGTGCTTTCTAAGCAGAATATTTCTCAGTTCCGTTGGTTTATTTTTATATGATGCAC